TGCAGGAGGAGGGAAAAGCACCCAAAGAAGCTGAGAACAGCCCAGATCCCTCCCCGGAGATCTCCGGGCATTGGGAAGCCCGGCCCGCCCCTCTCCCGAGCGGAACCATCCCGGCTTTTCTTCATCCTAAAGCAACAAATCCTTGGGAGGAACCGGGCGGTTCCGCACAGCCCCGTCCCGGGATCCCCGTTCTGCTCCCGGGGATCCCAGCTCAGCTCCCGGGGATCCCAGCCCCGTCCCGCGATCCCTGTTCCGCTCCCGGGGGATCCCAGCTCCATCCCGGGGGATCCCAGCTCCATCCCGGGGGATCCCAGCTCCATCCCGGGGGATCCCAGCTCCATCCCGGGGATCCCAGCTCAGCTCCCGGGGATCCCAGCCCTGTCCCGGGATCCCTGTTCTGCTCCCGGGGATCCCAGCCCCGTCCCAGGGATCCCTGTTCTGCTCCCGGGGATCCCAGCTCCATCCCGGGATCCCCGTTCCTCTCCCGGGGGATCCCAGTTCCATCCCGGGGGATCCCAGCCCCGTCCCGGGGGATCCCTGTTCCGCTCCCGGGGGACCCCAGCTCCATCCCAGGGATCCCCGTTCCGCTCCTGGGGGATCCCAGCTCAGCTCCCGGGATCCCAGCCCCGTCCCGGGATCCCTGTTCCGCTCCCGGGCGATCCCAGCTCCATCCCGGGATCCCCATTCCGCTCCCGGGGGATCCCAGTTCCATCCCAGGGATCCCAGCCCCGTCCCGGGATCCCCGTTCCGCTCCCGGGGGATCCCATCTCAGCTGGAATTCCCGAGGGATGCGGAGCCAGGAGATCCCACCCGGAGCCCCAGGGTGGGAGAGGGGCCGGGAAAAGCCGGAAAAAGAGTGGGATAAAAACGGGAAATCAAGCAAAATGAAAAAGGGAAATAAAGCGAAATAAAAAGGGAAGCGGAACAAAATAAAAAAGGGGAAGTGGAGCCAAATAAAGTGAAATAAAAGAGAAACGGAACAAAATAAAAAGGCAAAATCAAGTGAAATAAAAGAGAAACGGAACAGAAAAAGCGAAATAAAAAAAATAATCATCTTCAATATGAATCGGAGTAAAAAAAAGGAGAAAAATTCAAATAAAAAATCAAAATAAAGGAAAATAAAAAAGAGGAATGAAATGACAAAACAAACAAAGGAAGAAAGCAAAATAAAACACAATTAAAAAGCAGAAGAACAAAGTTAGGAAACAAAACTACAGCAAAAGTAAAGACGCCAAATGCAAAATAAAAAAGTGAAAGTAAAAAAACCAAACAAAAGAAAGCAAAAATAGGGACGCAAAAGAGCAAAATGAAATTAAGTCAAATAAAGTGGAATAATAAAGAGAATTAAAGCGAAACAAAAAAGAAAAATAAAAAGGCAACATTAAAAAGGGCAACAGAATAAAGCGAAATGAAAAAAGAATAAATAATAAAGCGAAATAAATGGGAATGAATGGGAATGAATGGGAATAGATAGGAATAAATGGGAATAGATAAGAATACATAGGAATACATGGGAATGAATGGGAATAGATGGGAATAAATGGGAATACATGTGAATAAATGGGAATAAATGGGAATAAATGAGAATAAATGGGAATAAATGGGAATGGCTCTGGAGCCGCCGGCTCCCGTCCCGCTCCGGGCAGGGCAGGAGGGGTCCCGGGAGCCCCCGGCGGCGCTTTGGGGGTCCGGGCGGCTCCGGGCCCTGGGGGGTCCCGGTCCCTGATCCCGATCCCGTCCCATTCCAGGATCCCGATCCCGATCCCGATCCCGGAGCCGGTGCCTGACCTGAGCTCATGGCGCGGCCCCGCCGGAAGCGGCGGGCGCGG